GCAACATATCTGGCACAGGTGCAAGCAACGCAGCCAATATCGGTACAACAGGCTATGACAATACTGCGAGGAGTGTCCCAACAGCTAGCAGTCATGGTGGAAATGCTGCAGCAGGCCATAACCCCCCCCTGCAGTAAGAGAGGCTATAGGAGAGACCTCTAAAGTAAGTGACAGTTCAGCTGGGGAGTTGCCGCTGGTATCTAAGCCAAGGAGAAGGTCGCCAAAATCCACCCATTTAATGGAGCCGGACCCCCTGAGAGCGTATCTATCCCTCATAGCACAGCTAAAAGCGGCAGAAAAAATTACCCCACCTGCCACGACAGTTCAACCTCGTGACCCAGTACTTTTTTGGGACGAGGTTAAGATGAAGGCAATGGAGGCCGGGGACAGGAATTTGGTTCAAGCTCTGGGGGTACCAGTTAATAATAAAGAATCATCTGTAACGGAAAGGGGGGAGGGACAAGTGCATTCCCTGTAGAACTGGCCCTCCCAGGCTCTAACCAGCCCAATCAACCTTTGGGCTGGTCGTGGAAAGTGATACAGGATATGCAGAAGGCAGTAGCGCAGTACGGTCCGAATTCCCCAGCAGTGACACAATTATTGCGATTATTGAACCTAGAGGTACTGGTGCCGTATGACTTTCAACATCTGGCTCAGGTCATGTTCCAGCCAGTACAACGCTTCGTTTTCATGAACGTTTGGAGGCAGGTTGGCGTCAGACACTGCAGAATATAATTGCCCCAAGGCGACCCGTGCTATGCTGTCGGCACAGATGTACTGATGGGAACAGATCACGTATTTAGTAACCCGGCGGTCCAAGCGCAGTGGCATCCCCAGATTCTCGAGCAAGTTAAACAAATAGGGATGCAGGCATTAATGCGTATGACAGAAATGACGGAGCCCAAAGTGAGGTATTCTACGATTAAACAAGGGGTCAAGGAAACTTTTCTACAGTTTGCGGAAAGGTTGCAAGGGGCAAAAGAAAAGCAGATATTTGACAGCAGACTATGAGCCTTGTTAACAAGACAGCTGGCAAAAGATAATGCCAACCCTGATTGCCAGAGAGTTATTGAAGTATTGTCGGGGGACCCCTCTCTAGAAGAAATGTCGGTAGAACATGAGATGACCCCACTGGCCATGTTATACTTGTGGGAAAATAGGTCGTCTCGCTAAAAACTGCAGATCAAAGGTTTACACTAACGGCCGGTCAAATCGGGGACATAGGAAAGGCAAAACAAAGAGACGTGCGTCCTACAGTCCGGAAAAAAACCTTTGCGGGAACGTTGCAGCAGCCACAGGCCAACCACAGTCCGGAAAAAACCTCTGAGGGAATGTTGCGGCAGCCCCCCG